AGGTGAGACAGAAGCCATGTTTTCTAAGCTAATCGTCGTCCGACATTCCTAATATTGCGTCGATAAAATTTCGAAACACATTTTTTGCCTTAATCATCAGAAGTTCGTAATGTTGGTTTTAAGGTTGACTTCACATATACATTTTAAAGGAATAGCAATAATGCTAAGTTGTAAAGTAGTATCCTTCATCTTCGTAACATATATGAAGTCACACGCTTCCATTATTGTAGTGCTATGCCAAAGCCAGTTTATGCTTTAGTAATTAACATAACGTCTTCATTACAGTAATGCTATCAAGATCAAATTAGATGATGTTCAACTCTGTTAAAAGTACTTCCCTCCACCCCCAAAGAAAATGTGCCTAGTTGCAATTTCGATGCTACCTGGTAGCGACATTTTTTTTTGTGAAGAGGTGAAAAGCCAAGCATAGGGAAAATATACATCGCTGTGATTGGCTATCGCACAAGTCCTAACCTAACTCGCACTCAAGTAAGGTACGAGTGGGAGTGATCCCAAAATTGAGGAATTTATTAAATTTTCCATGATCCCAAGAAAGGGAAATATGTAGGTTTGTTTCACCAATTGCAGATTGATATTTTGAGAGCAAGTTTGATTGTTATTGTTCTTGTTGTTGCTGATGTTGTTGTTGCTGCTGCTGTTGCTGTTGCTACTTCTTAATGACAACAAGGTCTCATTTTGTCTCTGAAGAAACGACCTAGTAAGACGCAGAACAACCTGCTTAAGGCACAAATATTTTATTTTATCCCTTACCTTTATGCCTCTCCAATACTGTATAATAATAACTACTCTACTATACTAGGCCTAGTCTAATCTCCAATACTTTTATATTATAAATTATTATTTAATATTATTCTCAACCAAAAGCAAACACGGTGTAATGCCTTCTTTTCTTATTATGCAGTTGATCAAATTATTGGTTGTCATTTTTTTTATTTCGATTTTTCTATTTTTGTTTTTTGTTTGTTTGTTTGTTTTTTGTTTTTTTATGTTTAAACATTTTAACTGTCTAGTCTTTAAACATATATGTCCTTTTCTAATGAATATTATGTAACAAAAAAAACCATGTTGTAAATAACATGCAATTCGGTCTTTGACCATCACATGTTACTGTTTTAGATATGACATTTTAATAAAGTGATATTATTAAATAACAACCAACCAACAATATAATTTGCAGCCCAAGTTTTGTTTTTATAAAAAAAATTTCCTCAAAACAATGTTGTTATGTAATGACATTATAAATTGATGAACAGTACAGCACACTTAAATATTTAAATTCGGTGTTAATTTTAGGTCCACGAAATAATATCACAGGGGGTAGTTGGCCTTTTGGGATGATTCTGATAATATGGAACGCCGACTGATATGCATTGCTAATAGCAGAATTGATAGAGCCATCTCTTCACTATTTTTAACACAAGAAATCCCAGATGAATGCACTAACCAAAATCCAAGACAAGGCCAGATGTTGTTTATAATGTCATCATAGGTTTATAGCACTTAGAAGACCGATACATTTGGGCAATGGAAGGTTGTGCAGAGAAAACATTGTACTGAGAAATGCTTCACTGAGTGCTTCATGACAGCAAAAAGAAAGAAGGTCTTCCAAAACCTAAATCTGAGTTTATAAAGAAAAACAAAAAACTTGAAATAAACTTATTCTTCTAAGTTAAAACAAATGTAGTTTAAACAATTTCCAAATTATAGTAGTAGTTTAGACTGTACCACATTGGAAAAAAAGTTCTTGCAGATATTGCATTATTAATTTAAAAATAGACAAAATTTGTGTTTGTACTAATGGTCATATATCTGCTTTTTAACTGTGCTGTATAATGTTTACAAAAATAAAATAAAAAAGTAAAAAAAAAAAGTGTTGCCTTAATTGATGAACTGTGCTTTCCCCTCCGTTTGACAATTTATTATATCAATTATAAACTGGTTTTATTATTTAAAATTTGAGAAGTAAAAAAAAAACCATAACAGATTACATACACTATTATTGACTATTTTTATAATTCACTTGTTTTCAATTGTTTAGATGTGCAATTTAGATTGAATGTGAATGTACAAGGAGAAAACAGTAATTTACAGTAGTAAAGAACTCTGACTTTCCACTTGGATTTATACATTTTTAATGCAGATATAAATACCAAAAATATACGTTATATAGCTAAAAAAAAATACATAACAATATGTAATATCCATACTGCAAAAAATCAGAAGAAGAAAACATAAATTAAAGTGATGCAATACACTAATTTATTGTTATTGTTATTATGCAATTATGTATGTTATTTTTTTTTTTAAATATTAATGTGATACAATGCAGAGTGACAAATTCAACATTTTAGTGCTGCTATGTGCTGCTATGAAAATACTTCACATTTTTTTAACCGCGCTAATTTAAAGCCTTTTTAAAAAGTTAAATAATTCGGCACATAATTTATTCCTAAAACCAACTGAAAGTCTATAAGTTTGATAGTCTGCTCTCTTCGGAAAGCCCATTTTTCAGCTTTAATTGCCTTCCACTTGATCAACTAACCCTATAAAGAACACGTCACATAATAGTTTACTTTAATTTTCAGTTTATGATTGTAATGATCCCGAATTAATTTGGCTCGAACCTAAAAATCTGAACAGTAAATATCTAAAAGCAGTTTGACAAAAAGAACCACATCACAAAAAAAAAAAACAAAAAAAAAACAGAGAAATATGGACTTCAATGGAAATATTTGTCGTCGACGTCGTTGTCGTCGCCGTCGCCGTCCTCGCTGTCACCGCGGTTGCTGTAGTCACTGTGCTAGCAGTGGTCACCGTGGTTGTCGTTGTAGTCGTTGGTGTAGTTGTAATTCTAATCATTTTAATTGTAATAATTATAATTGTAATAATTATTATTGTATAATTTTTAATGTAATATACTACTAAAATAACGTTTCAGGTTTTTCTCTGTTTACTACATTAGGATTTGATTTTGTTATGTTATTGTTATTTTTTTTCTTTTTGGCAAATTTAACACATTTTCTACAGATTACTTCCAAATCTCATAACTATCGTAACGACATTATGCCACGCACCTAATATAACATTTTAATTTTTTATTTTTCAATATAAGTTCCACATGTCCACATTCATAGCCATATTTAGAGACAATACCACAGCACCGAAATAGTCGGGAGTTAATACGTTTGCATAAAACATAGATTTACTACGATACACATACATTTTTACATGTAATTAATTAATTCTAGTACATTAGTCAGTCAGTAAATTTATCATTATTTATTACCATTGTTATAATAATAGTGAATTATTATTTATATTATATTTATTATATATAGGTCTATTACTTCTATCATATTTATGATTTGGAATTTAGTGATTACCGGTAGTGATTAGTGATTACCGATTAGTGATTTGTAATTGTTGTTGAGGTTGTTGTTGTTAATTGTTAATTATTATTAATCATTGTTAATCATTTTAAATCATTATTCATTGCTAATAATCGTTAATCATCATTATTCATAATCATCGTTAGTTATAGTTTATTATCGTTTATCATCGTTTCATCATCATCCTCATCATCATCACCACCAATATCCTATGTGCATAAACCTCGTATGAGTATATTCGCACAGCGTTCGTGGTCAATTATGTTCGCTTTGGAAAATTAACGGGTGTGAATATCAGATTCCCTGTCCTTAAATGTGTCGATAAAATGAAGGTGAACCAACAACATGTTGATGTAGGCTATTTTAAAAACGGATGATGTCTAGGAAGAACAAACACTTCCTTAATCTTGTACGGGTTTTGGGGTTTTTATAATGTGTCGCTTGTCCGTGACCACTTGTTTATCATCGCCTATCATCGTTTATCATGGTTTATCATGGTTTATCATTTATCCTTATGTACCAGTATTTGTTATTATTTGTAATTATTTATGATTATTATTATTCATCATTATTTATCATTTTTGTTTTCATTATCCATAATTGTTAATCATTGGTTGGTAATCATTATTTAGCAATCATTATTAATCATTTGTCATTTGTAATTTGTCATTGTTATTGGTCATCGATCATGTGAATTGTCGATTTTCTATTTTTTATATTGTTATTATTATCACTATCAATAACATGATTTTATAATATGACTTTTGAAAACGAGTCACTTTTTAATGATTGAAAGAAAAATACCATATGTTTGCGTAATGCTATTTTTGTAATAAATACAAAGAAACACGCACATTCAATCTACAATTTACTACTTTATTATAAAAAAAAAAAAACAAAACCAAATTTCCAAATAAAATGTGTAATGTTCTCGTTAAAAAAGTAAACCTTATAGCTCTATATATTAATTGATCATAAAAAAATTAATCAATCAATTAATACATCAATCCATCTATCAATCACTTTACCAATCCATTAATCAATCGGTCAATCAAATTATTTGTTATTCATTCAAAAATTTAACCAATGTAACAATCAATCAATTATTCGATCAATCACTTATTTTATTTAAAATCTTAACTCTGCTAAGATTATTATTTTTCTCACTAACCAAATTTGTCGAGTTTCCCTTACTGTAGGAACTGGCTACTACTGGTTAGAAGTTAACCTTTTTCTACTAAACGTTGTTGATGATTTCAAATAACACATTTTAGTAACAAACAAGGTGTATGTAATCATGTATGGTATTGAATGTTTAATATTTATAAAATTCAGACTACATGGCATATTTCCAAATTCAATATTGTAGTCATTTTTGTATTACTATATGAAAATAATGCAGATTTCTTTTAAACAGTTAAAAAAGGTAAATAATATAGTATAATTCATTTTTAAAACCAATTGAGCATGCCTTAAGGTTGACAGTTTTCTTTAACTCTTATTCTTCTGTGAAAAGAAAACGTCACATAAGAGCTCATATTGATGCAATTATCCATTATGACTTAGATGATCAGGAATAAATTTGCTTACCTAATTTTATGGTGAATTACAGTAAGACGGCAGAATAAAATATTCTGAAACATCAGTTAACTCCTGATAGTTGTAGTAATAAGTACCCCGAATAATGTCACCTAAAATCGTCATTTAAAGGGAATGTATTAGTGATAAATTTAAAAAATAATAACTAATTATGTAACATTATAACTACGGACACACATTTTAATATACCTTGTACTAATCGTTCTATTTCTGTAACCGCACTGAACAGTAAAGCAAATATTGTTATTTATATGATTTATTGCTATTTCCATGGCAAGTATATTGGTGATGTTGGAGGAAAAATTAGACTTTAAAATGAACAACGATAACAGTGTTGTTAGACGTATAAGGACCCGTTCTTAACCGTCAGCCTACATTTCAATTCTCCAGGCCATTCCATCAACCAACTGCGTTTCATAATATTAGGCAATAACTACTGTTTTACCAATGCCCGGCATTGCGCCAACATTCTTTATACACGTAAAATGTCTTAATACACGTAAAAACGGGTTCAACAGAGATCTTGGCATACTTAGCGGATAAATGTTTAATAATCAGAGCTCCTTTAAGAACTGTTTTTAATTTTGAGTATTATTGATGAGCTGATCTGAAACGTGCACCGCCTCTCTTTATCTCCTTTTTTCTATATATTTTTCAAACAATTTTGCCAAGATAGTGGTCAGTATCACTGCTTCCCAACTACTGACAGACACGCCTTGAAGCTGCTCATATCTCATTAAGTATTAAGGAACAGACTGTTTTGTCATTGTTGTCTTTATTGTGTTTTTCCCTGTACAGCTTTTTAAATAGAAGAAGTAGAATTGGTGAGCCATATTCAATAAAGCTTACAGCTCAGTTTATAATTATTGAACGGTGCTTTACAATATAACCTAATGAAACAATTATAACAGTAATTAAACTCAAATACGTCACCGTAAAATGTTGACTTTAGACGAAACACTAAAATTTATTAGGCGAATATTTCTGCTACTCCTGTAGTAGACGCGAACATCTGTCCTCATTGAAGAAGACGAGTTTCTGTGGGAGGCTCCATATTAATATATGACCATTGATCATTGATATAATAGAGATCAAGCTCTAAATCGTATATATATATATATATATATATATATTTATATATATATATATGTGTGTGTGTGTATGAATGTATATATATGTGTGTATATATACATATGTGTATATATATATATGTATATATATATATATATTTGTATATATATATATATACATGTGTGTATATGTGTATTATATGTATATGTAAAATGAGTACGTATGCACAAAGTAGAGTCGTATACGTTGACATGATAGACATAAAACAAGTTTTTTATTTCCAATATTTAGAACACGCCTGTGCTCTTCCTCAGCGATAACACGTATAGGCCTATTTAAATACTGTAAAACTTTAAAAACTATCAATCGGAGATAAACAATAAACATCAGTGACTTAGATAAATCGTAAATGATATGATTAGGGTGGATTATAATGGGCGGTAACAACAAATAAGATAAAAATAAACGAAAAGTCTAATCTTCCGAAAAATAAAAATAAAATATAAGAAGTTAAAGAGCATTTAAATGGATGAATTAATGAATATAAATGTATCTAGATGAATGCATTGATTAATGAAAAGATCTGTAAAAATTGTAAGTATTTATTCATGCTATTTTTGTGAGTATTTAATTTAATGATCCATTTCAATTCGCAACAACATCTGTCGGGGAGGGAATTGAAACCTGTACTTATTAAAATACACTTAAGGTTAGAGATACAATGGTTGGCTTGGTTAATATGCTTGCTACAGGATAGTGTATTGTCTGTAATAAATTTTTCATGATTATTGCATCATCTTATTCTAAATTTGCAACCAGTTTTCCCGACGTATATAGTAACCATACATTGGGTAAACCAAATAAGATAAATAACATTTAAGGCGTTGCAAGTGAGAGAGGCTTGCGAATTTGGCATCGTGAATTACCACAAGGGCGATTACCAAATTTAGGGGTGATAGTAGGAAGTTTAGATGAAGTAAGTAGTGAATTCAGGCTGGTTAGGAGGTTGTCGGTATGCTATGAGAGGTGGTGGTTTGAGTGCTGCTGAATTTGATGAAGTGCAGTCTGAAAAAATGCGAAAATCTTGGGGATAGTTTTGGCGAGATGTTGGATTCGGGGGTTGCAGTCGAGGACAAGGGGAATGCGAATAGAATTCGACTTGGCTTAATATTAAAGAAGTTGCTGGCGTGATTTAGCCGAAGCCTCGATGAATAATTGTTTGATCAGTTTCATGGGGAAATTGCTGAGTCTTAATTTTGTGGATGAGAGTGTTTATGTGTTTATCGAATTCCGTATTGGTAGAGCAAATTCGTTTTATTCTGAGCGCCTGACTATATATTATGGATTTTTTAAGTTTTATGGAATGAGCGCTATAATTGAAGTTAAGATACATATTTGGTTGTCTGTGAGCTACCAACTATATACATCTAAAAATGGGATTTCTGAGTGTGAGTTTTTTTTCGTGGTGAACTTAATGTTGTGTTGCGAGTTATTGATATGGGAGATGAGTGAGTTGAGTGTGTCAGAGCCACGTGGCCAAATAAAGAAGATGTCGTCGATTTAGCGGCCGTAAAAAAGGTTGGAGAGGGTATGTGGAAATGTTGTTTTTAAAATAAGATGTTTCTGTTTTCAAAATAGTCCATGAGTATGTTGGCGTATGAGAAGTCCATCTTAGTATCGATTAGCTGTGCAGTGGCGAATCTAAGGGGGGTGGGGGTAAATAGGGTGGCTATATATCGTCACTCGTCTTGTGTGATGTTTCTCATGTATACAGTGTAGTAGGCTACTCTCGTAAAACATACACTTTCTATTTTAAGCTTAACCTTTTTCAGATGTCATCCAAGAGCGTCAAGCCGTTAACTAATTCCAAAAAATCTCAAGTGGAAGGAGATGCCTCTCCCTAAACCTATGATCAATGACGGACAAGGGACACGTCCCAAAATATTGTTAAGGGGTAGGGGTTGGTCGCTCTTTTCGTCCGCAGTGTAATAATATCATAAGTCAAGAAGATGCCTGAAAATTGTTGAAATGAACTGAATAAATGACCCAGGTTTTAACGAAAGTGCGCTGTACAACCGGTACTCTATCTCTGCCCAGAAAAATCTGAATTAGTGTATTTATAATACACGACTCTTGTGCGTGTGCCTTTATTATAATTTTAGAAGTGTGAGAAAAAGCGTGTAATAATAATAATAATAATAATAATAATAATAATAATAATAATAACTAATAATAATAATAATAATAATAATAATAATAATAATAATAATAGTAATAATAATAATAATAATAATAGTTTTCGCCACACCTCAAGGACGGTTTTATTTTTAATGGAACATCACAAAATTTCCCCCTCACCTATCAAAACAGATCTGCGCGTATCCTGAATGGGTATGGTAGTTAAGACATCAAGCTAGTTACCTGGAGGTCGTGGGTTCCCTTCCCACCCGAACCACCTGCGATTTTTGTTTTTATACTGAGAATCCAGTACAACACGTCAGGTAGGGCAAATATCATTTTGTATTATTTCTCCTGACGCAAAACGCCGTCGGAATAAGATTGTTCATATGGAATAACTTGCAATAGCTGGAGCTAATAATTTCGAACAAATTTCGTACTACCACAGTTATTTAAAAACCAACGGTTAGAAAAACTAGCAGTATACTATATCATTTCGCCATTATTGTAATTTATTATTTCAATTTAATTCCAAGATATTTAAAAAAAAATAAGATGTAATTTGTCGTATTTGTTTATTGAATACCGATTGGTTATGTTCGTTGCATACTTATGTATCAATATAAAGATAAGTTATTTTTTAACGGCCACACCCCTTCTAGTAGATATTTCGTTTTTGGTCATAACAACTTTTCATGTATTATTCACATAAGCCATATATAGGATTACCTTTCTTTAACGGTATTCCCCTTTTCTTAACATTGCAAAAGCCCTAGACCTATGTTGCCCTGTCATAAAAAAAAAACAAACACTCAACTGACACATTTTTCAAAATGCACTTGTTTAGCTTTTTGCCCTTTTGGGGACATAATACACCTTGTGGTGCATTGAGATTTTTGAAATTGTAACTGAAAATATGAAATAATAAAATTAAAATACCACTCCACTGCAAGTCTGTATTACTTTTGTCAGCAAAGACGCACTCAACTGCAAAATGTTAAAAAAGGCTGAACTCAACTGGCATTTAACACCTATTATGTAATAGGTTGTCATGAGAAACCCACTCAACTGCATAGTGCTTTATACTGTTTATCATGAGAAAGATGATTATCCAATGTAAATAACTACAATAACATTATTTTACAATGTAATCATTATAAACAATCTTATTATTAGTATACAATATTGCATTACGGTATCTCATACTGTACTTTTAACATTTTTTGGCATTAGTCTTACTACTAGCAAAATTTGGCTATTATCTTTTTCTAGCAGGGGACCATTATTATGGAACCAGCTCCCAAATAAGGATGCAAAGTTTTTGACAAGGTTTAAATATTGGCTAAAAAAGCATCTTTTACTATTTAATTTGTCTTTTATTTTTTTATTTATTACATTTAATGTGTAATAGCGCCCTGATAGAATATTATAGGGCGATATATTGAAACCTATTATTATTATTATTATTATTATTATTATTATTATTATTGTTATTATTATTATTATTGTTATTATTATTATTATTATTATTATTATTATAGCATACAGTTCAATATATATTTTTCATCTGATAAACATTTAAATACATTTAATAATAAAATGTATGTGAAATACAAAAGAGGATTAATTTCTGCAAAAACGCTTTAAAAAACATTTTTTTCTTAAAAAATAAAAGATAATTGAAAATATGTTTCATTGAAGACAAAAAATAGAGCATTATACGATAAATGAATTATGAAAGGCGCAAGCGGTATTACCCCTGGTCACTCAATAACGTACAATGGCAAACCAGCACAAAGTGCAACCTTCTCTGCTCTAGGAAGTATCCCTAGTCGTTCGCTATTTCTACAGCACACGAAACTAGAACATTCAATGCCACAACATCCTACCAGGTACCCATTTATACTCATGGGTAAAGAGAGAAAAACGTAGATAATAATTGCCTTGCCCAAGGAAACAAGCGACTTCCACAGGAATGGCGGCGCCAGGCTTAAAACCCCCGCGGGACAGAGCTCGTCGGTCAGTCAGACCATAACACATAGAAAAATAGGGCCACACCAAGCCAACACATGTCTGTCACAGTCTGAAAGTGCCATTTGCGGCCCCCCTCTCAACCCCTTCCTCCAGCTCGAGCCTACGAGCTCAAGTCCAATATATCCTAGAGCCGCCACTGCACAGCAAGAGTTTCGAACCTGACCTGAAGGTCGGGAATCCAAGCCAAAATCGATGCGCCAACCGCTTCTACATACTAATTGATATAGTACTACTGATTCTGAAGGATATAAATGTTTAGAAATGCTGGGACATAGATATTAAAACAATTCTACCTATTGTTTTAATGTTGATTTCTCACAAACATTTCGTTCATATTCAATATAAATAAAAGCAATAGACATAGATTTATATTTAAAAAAATACATAAATAATAAAATAATTGTAAAATTGCAAGTTAACTGTGTCCGAAGTATTCGTTAATTGTATTCGAGCATTTCTGAATATCTATCATTCTGAATCAGTACTGCGATTTTGCTACAATACGTCATATCTAGGCCTATATACTATTCTGTATATATTATACTCAAATGGCCAGATTCAATATTACTGTGCTTTTATTACACTTTCAAAAAATCATGCTGTACATAAACTGTGTCTAGGTATATTATTACAGTTACAGTCCATTTAATGTTTACACTGTCTTGACTATCAATGCCTATTTAAGATAGTTTGGACTACTCCATAGCGTTCTTCAATGCATAAGCACTGTAACTTACTCGATACACCACGGAACTGTGCTTCGTGAGGGGGAGGTCTGGCATGCCTATTCATAAGTATCAGTTCACCTACCCGACCTAAAATAGCGTCCTCTATAATTTATGCCTTAAGTGTATGGGAAAAAATAATGCCATCCGCCACTTGCCATGGCTCAGGAACAGCTCCTTCCTTAACAATTTGTTAAATAACAACGTAATGACACCACCGTTTTCTACAGCAGTTTCCTTAATACTCTGGAGTTCATGACGTCCAGACCAGGTAATTTCCTTTTAAATAACCGACAACATCCTTACAAATAAATAATACCCTAGTATCAACACTGTGCACTGCAATTTTGAAATTCTTAAGTCCTCTTGTATATGCTATAGCCATGCATTGTATTATATATTTGCCAGCTTATCTAACCGTTGATTTTTAATAAAGTGGTATGAAATTTGTTAGAAATTGATCGTCTCCGGTGATTGCAGGTTAATCAGTATATAAAGAAAGTTATCTATAGGCCTGCAGATGTACAGGACATAATAACGTTGCTTTTTCAGGTCCCAAAAACACCCAAATTATTGAAAATTTAAATGAAATATTCTTGAATTATGTGTTTGAGAAATCTATTATGTAACACCCTCAAAATTCTAGGCCTACTTTGTCGCTTTTCTCACAAACCCCCTCCAGGCCCCTGCCCCTGGACCACCAAATTTCAAAAAGTCCACTTTTTAAAACCTATTATTTCACTGAAATCGTTCCTAATTATCGCGAAATGCATTACATTTTTTTTTTGCCCGCTCTACCCTTTGATTTTTAATAATGTGCTACGAAATATGTTGGAAACTATCAGCTCCAGTGATTGCAGATTGATCCATGTCATCTGTAGGCCATTCCGGCCATTTCCATAAATTTGCTTACCTCAGCCCCACCCATGGTGGGGCTGAGATGCTATTGACCATCTGTCTGTTCAAGTTCATCCCTTCACCCGCACCCTCTATTTATCCTGCTTTACTGTAGGTCCTTAGACAATACTCAAATGAATGAAAATTTAAATAGAATATTACAAATTATGGATTTTAGAATTCCATTAAAAAAGGCCCTCAAAATGCTAATTTGTCAGAGCTTCCAGAAGATTCGCCCCACCCTCGCGGGGATCCCTAGGCAGGCGGGGATCCCTAGGCAGGCGGGGATCCCTAGGCAGTCGCCCATCGTAAGGCCCACTTCGGTTACATATACTACAAGGTACCTAGGGTCAAAGATCAGAAATGTCATTTTGTGTCACTTCTAGACAAAACGTTGCAGTTTTTGAAATAGCAACATGTATTCTGAAACAATTTGAGACCAAAAATTAGGTCTCAATGAAAAACGGTTACTAACTGATACAGTACAGTCTGTACTAGGTACGATGAAAGTTATCAACTAATCAATAATGTCTATGTAATAGGCTTTTATTGGATATTGGAATTGTAATATACTGTCTGCCCATCAGAAGAGCGGTTATGCGGGTGTGGAAAAGTACAAACGGAACTGCATGTTTTATGTGAATGCGCCTTGACCGCCCACATACGCCACAACATGGGTATAATGTGTAATGATATTTATTTCTTTATTAGAATTGGATCCTAAGTAAATTTAATTACAAAAATTAACAGCCAGTGAAAATTAGTAAATATTTATTACCGTATGATATTTGGAGAACGGTGCATTATTTGATATGTATTGTAATGCCATGTTGGACGGCTGTTATCCCTAGTTTGTTAATAAAAAATAACTAACTAACTAGACTAACTAGATATAAGCTGTTTTGAAAACTAAAAAAATGAACAGCAATTGAGCTGATAATTCCCTTTTGAGAAAAAGAAGTAACGCCTTGTTTATTATCTTAGCTACATTGTGCATATCACTTCTATTTTAATACATTGATTTCGAAGGAAAATATAACATTTACATTTTTAGTGTTTAAAGTACACCTAATACAAATTAGTTCTTTGCCCTAAAAAACACAGACAGCAAAAACACTTACATTATATTATAAAAAATGGAGCATTTCTAATAATTATTTCAATTGAAAGAAAGCCATTTCCCATGCCCTTCAGTTTCTTATTTTGACCTGTATAGATTTTTTAATCACTTTTTTTTTGTTTCAGAAAAACAGGATGCAAAATTCCCAGGACAATGATATGCATTCTTCACTCTGTTTCTGTTCGATATAAAGTTAGTACAAGCCACTGCAGAATTCAAATTAGCTTATCTTTTAGCAACATTTTTAATTAACCTTGCTATTATCGGCAGGAAAATGCATGGATATGTGGACTGTTACTGTATTATTATCAAATGCTGATTTATGTACGCCTGTAATACGAATTATTCTTTAATATTGTTTAATTATTATAAACTTTAGTAATTCAGAAGCATTAATATAATAATAGACGTACATTACAGACAAATATGCTGATTTAAACTGGACTGAGGCAAAATATTCTAGAATATAATATGCTTGAATTTGAGGTACAGTATGTGTACAGTAACACTTAAGCCATTGACTATGTGATAGAGGTACGCAGGCGAATGATACTCTATCAGACTAATGACCCTACCCTATGATGCATGTTAATGTTTTTAATTATAAAATTTATGGTTCTTGAGTATTACTGTTTGTACATCTTTAACTCAGTGTTATTTGCAAGTCTTAGGAGTTGCTTAAAGCTATTGTTAATTTACAACAAGGAACTTGGACCAATTAAAGACCAGGTGGTACTGTGACCAATTGGAGACCTTTGAGACTGGGACCAATTGAAGACCAATTGGAACCAATTGACGACCAGCTGGAACAGGTACCAACTGAAAACCAGTTAAAATTAGGACTATTTTGACTTGTCCACAAACACAACACCTAACTTGTTCCAGATCCAACTGGTTTTACCGAAAAATTTATTTGGGTAAAACAAACTTATATGGTAAGCGTTGTTTTCATCAAATCGTTACAAGTTATCTAACAGTGTTTTCAATGTAAACGTTATACATCAAGTATATGTCCCCGACGCAATCGGTTGAGAGACAACTTGTCTAAAAATCAGGTAAACTGCCCCATTTGATCGACCGGTTAGCGATTTGATAAACAAAACCCAAAAAATACAAAAAAAGAAAAATAGAGTTTTAAAAAAAAAAACCAAAAAAAAAAAAAAAAAAAAAAAAAAAAAAAAAAAAAAAAAAACGAGCTTACCTCCATCTTCATTTGGATATTTGCCAACAAACGATGTTCCAGTTTGCTGACATTCGTCTTTGGTATATTCGCGTGGCCCCTCTCCAACTCCATATGAATCGCCAGATTCGTAAAAATACTTCCACCTATTTACTACCACATCATTAGGGCTAATGACTTGATGGATATATTGTGCACTATCTAATGAAAAATAAACATCCTGACTGAGTGATGGTAAAAAATAAATAATTAAGCTTATAATTTAAAGATGTAATAACTGTTATTTTTTCATCAAACTATGAAAGTAGAACGACACCATTCTAAAAGTTTAAAAGCATTTAGTAAATCTAAACTGTCCAACGTGTTTTGTATACATCGAATTTGATGATTTTTTTTTTTTATTTTTTTTTTGGTACTAGTGAAGAAGTTGACATTGATAGTAAGACCTAATTGGTTTTATTAGTTAATTTTCAAGTGAAATGCAATAAATAACCAGCTTAATGATAAAAATAATAACTAATAATGGAAATTATAATAGGCCTACATCGATTGTAAATACGCGTGAATTATTACTTTTTGCTCAGCCTATGCTTCAACCGTTTATTTCTTATCAATTCAGAAAACCACTGTGTTATTATCAACTAAAATTACAGAAAGCTTCGTTTTTATTGATAGACAACGGCCATTTTATCTGTTCCAGCGCTATAGCACTGCTTGCTGATGACGCTGCAACTAAAAAAAGTCGCTGATTGTGCCTTACCTGCAACACACCTGGCTGGCATAGATCGAGTTCCATTTTCCATCTCACACTCTTTTAAATTAGGATCAAAATACCATGTAACATTCTAAAAAAATGAACTAAACATTATACTAAACATTTTTTGATTCAATTCAATTCAAAAAAATATTTTTTTCCTTCCAATCGTAAAAGAAGAAATTTAATGTAGGAAATACAAAGTAACACAACAAATTTAGAAGATGACCAGTTCCCATTAAAAAGCAAGAACGAAAAACATCTTGAATTGGGAAAAAAATAAACAAAAAATAATAACAATATTTAAATAAATAGAAAAATATAAATAAATAAAGCAAAAATAAAAATAGAGATAATTAAATAGATGGAGAGATAGACAGATAGATAGAAAGACAAACAAACAAAGAAACAAATATAAAATAAATAAATAAATAAATAATAAAAATAAATGAAAATAAACATAAAAATAGAACAAACGAACGAACGAACAACCGAACGAATGAATAAATATATAAGTAAATATATAAAAACATAAGTAAATAAATATAAAATGATTGAGAAAGAGCAGCTCAATTCTTAACAGCATGGCGAATTACGACAAAAATATAGGCCTAGTACAATTTTAATTATTTGAGATTATGTTTTTACTGTGTTAAAACGCTTTGACAGAAACATCATTGTAATTGAGATTATTAATTTTTTTGAGACTGAGAAGCTCGTATATCTAACGTTGTGTTAAAAATAGTTTGCATTATGATTAGGGATGTGAATTTCATTTCCATATCGTGTACAGTAACTGTGAAAAAAAAAAGAAAAACAGGATACTTTCAAAGATTAGGAAGGATCAAATGCATGTCGGAGTATACAATCTTTACCGACACCACGAAGAGACACACACTTGAACAGCCATATTTGTTCAATTGTTTTTACTTTGACATTTTTATTATGTACGTAAAAAATCTACCTTTTCACATAATCGTTTAGAGTGCAACTACACTATTTAGTTAGACTAATTAGCAATAGCGCACCAACCGAGTAAATTGGTTTTGTGTCCCTAGCGGCGAATACACAGGCAAAATAAATGAAGAGACAAGAAAAACCATCATTGGATGGAAATTGTCATTTATTGTAATGACGTAAATAAACATGTTTGGTTATAGCACTGGCCGAGATAATACAATACAACAACTAAATTACTGTCTTTTAACCTTTACAGATATAATAAAAAAAATGTTATTCTTAACTACATAAGTTCATATTAAAACAATTTGTTATCCATAGTCTTAGTCAATTAACAAGAATGAATTTACCATAAGAGACTAAGTAAAATGTGGTATATATTACAATAATTAAAGTTAAAATAATGAATATGGGATATACATAGGCCTATAATCACAAGCATATAATATGGGACTGGCCGAGATGATACAATACAAATTAGGAGTTAAGAATTAAACGACTGAATCCAGATATACTGGTTCAATGCCGACTAATTCCATCTACCAAACTGTTTTATATTAGGCTAATCGCAATCCCCATCGACGCGGCGTGGATTGCGGCTCCAATTCGAAACCTGTGACCTTTGTACTGACCTGTATCGAGCCCCGTAAACGAGAATGCTGATTTCATGTGTTTTGATACAAAATGTGGTGACAGTTACTGGTTTCCCATCTACGTGTTAAAAAAGTTGCCCAGACGAATGGCGGAAATGAGTGACATATTCAGTTAATGCCTTAATCGGACAGAACTGTTCCTGTTCCCACGCGGAAAAGGAAATCATTACCGGAGGGTTTCCAATGCCCGTTTTGTAATGACCAATGAGAAGCGAGGCATCTGTTTCCGATAATATTAAATCAGTGCGTTGGACCACTTTAGATTCGCAACCAACCCTCGCTGTCAGCTCCCCAAGGCGAAAAAACACTTGAAATGCCGTGAGAAAAATTGCCCTTAGCAGTATCTTCAGGGAAATTGTACGCTTTCTACCGACTGCAAAGCGTGAAGTAATCTCAACAAGATATCTTTTGTGATAGGGATGCGTAATGTCTACCAGAGGGGATGTCGTGTGCACGCGACCTTGTGCGCCCTGTCACCATATGAACGTATGAAATCGTCGACATATTCGAGGATATTGTTTTGGGAGCCAAACCCGTCTAATATAGGTGAGCAATAAAATTATGGTACATACTTCTAGTGGTAACGTTACCACTTTTCCCTAATTAGGATGCCAATAGAATTAGGCCGCGTTGATAAGCCCGTCTTGTCTGAAATAGCGCTGATTCAACCAATGTGAGTGCTGTCGATGACAAGGTCCCTGAGCCATAAGCCGAATTCAGAGAAGGCCCTGGAAGGATTTGTTGTGTAGAGTATGTGTGTTAAAAGCAAAATTATTGAATTAATACAATGTTAGGCTTAGTCGCATGTATTACACACTCATGCCACATGATATAAGTTTATAATCATGAGTGAAGCAGCCCATGCTGAACCCCACACAGCAGCTGAAATTAAAGATGAAAGCAAAACTCTTAATCTACCATTAATGGTCAAACATGTAGCAGCTCATGCTGACCCACTGGGGTAGCAATGGGGTGTGGAGATATGAATGGGTATATTGCCCTTGCTTTATCCAATTTTAATCTAGACAGAAGGTGTTATTCTTTATCTCCTTTTTTATGTCTTGTGTCCGTGGTTAATTGATGTTTTGATGTTTTTTATATTTGCCTACTTGCCTTAATGTTGTAAATTTCAATTTATTCTGCCTTGATTGCGAATTTGTATTGTAATATTTGTAATTGTAAATATTGCAATTTTTCATGTTTTTAATCTTTTTCTTAATGTCTGTGCTGTTTGTGAATTAATCAATTAATTAATTAATTAATTAATCCTTCAATATTTTTATATTACTTTCCTTTGATGTTTTTATATTGGGGTCCTTTGCCGTTTTCTTGTTAATGGACTGTACAAACAACTTGTCCGAGCGAAACAAAATGTTCCCATTTGCTAGCCTACGCCCATATCTCTGAAGCAAGTAGACTTGGAAATAGCTTAAGCACTGCTATAGAGTGGCATAGGGATGATTCAGGCTACGCAGGCGCAAACCATTCGGTGCCCAGTATTGCCGCAGAACCAATCGAACCCCCAGCGTAGGTAAACAAGTTTCAGAACTTGTTCATTGTTCAGGTAAAATAAGGGCTTTCCCATTAAATTGTTGGAGGAAACTAAGCCACATATTTATATCCTCCTTGACCTCACTACTTAATCGAATAAAATGGCTGGGATGTTTTACATGGGATCGGACAGCAGATTAGCCAGCACAAGAATATGTGGCCCGGTAATTAAGAAGCCCACTAAAGACTGTAGCTCACGAAGAGACGTTTTTTTTTCTTATGCAGAAAGATAATTAATAATCCTTTTATTTTACTAATGTTTGCTTCCGGAAGACGACACTCCGTGGCAAATAGTAATCCTTGTCGTGGGTGTTACTCTTTTGGATTCCCTTTACGGGACCCCTAATTTACCACAAAGAAACAAAATTCTGGCCAATGCCTCACGACATTTAACCGTGCCGGTAAAGCCTTTAAAGAAAAAATCGTCCAAAATTTGAGACGAATCAATTATGTTAAATTTTGTTTTCATTATCATTCACAGTAACGCGTAGCTGAACGACTCAAAAACTTGGCAAGACCTAGTGGCCCCCATTGGCAAGCAATTGTCGTAAAAGTAGAGGATATTCCAAGTAAAAACTAGTAAATAATAGTCAGCCGGGTGATTGGGTATTATCTGAAACGCGTCTTTGATGTCGGTCTCTTGGCCATGAGACAATGCCTGTCGTATTTCAAAATAAAGTTCAGCACGCAATCAATTGAGTAGTAAGAACCACTTTGGCAGTTGAGCCTCTAGCATATAATTTATGGGTGGGGGGCTAAAATGTCCGACTGGGGGACTAAGGATTTATGGGTGTAACTATACCGCGCAGCGTTATCTGAGAGCCGAGGGGTGGGTATGGGAGGGAGTGTCTCCTTCTCTCAAAACGAGATTATTTTTAATAAAATTGGGATTGGGATGACTGAACTTCGGCCGGAATGCAAAAATTTATCGACGCCCCTCGGGGATATGACAGGTCTTGAATTATCCGGAATTTTCCGGTCTTCGCCTTAGGAGTAACTCCAAAGGGAGGCCCACGAAATATTTAAACGGCGGAGAACTAAACGGACCTGATAACCGTCCACGTTCGAGACCTTATGTAATAAAATTACTGATTTGGGCATGGTGATTTAGAGCACTAGGGTGGTTGTGCGCAATTTTTGGCGGTGGTGGATTTAAACAGCATAACCTAAAGCCTACAAAAAACCTGAGATAAGTGACCAAAAAGGTTAGAGGGTACTCCGAAAGGTAACGAGCAAGCTGATTAACTTTGACCGGTGTTGGCAGTGCCTGTCTTGGCTTACCTATAGGCCTGGTTTTCCGAAGGGTATCCCCTCCCATCAATGGACGAGACTGCTCTCCACATTTTTGACGTTGTTTTGGGCAGCGGATTTTTTGGGTGTGGCAGCTCGCACGATATGCTGTTTATTTATTTATTTTTATTTATTTCAACAGTATTTTACGAGGATGGTCCATCCAGCTGGAGCTGATCGTTAGGGACCCTCAATGCATAACACAAGTAACAAAGGAAATATAAATAAAAAAACAAAGAAATTAAAATGAAAAAAAAAAATATAATAATGATAACCAAGTTACAAAAGAAAAGAAATAATTACATATAAACATTTTAAATAAATAAAATTTAAATTAAAATAAAATTGACTATAAAATAATTAAAAGCAGAATAATAAGGCACAAAAAAGAAGTTAAAAATAAAATTTTAAAAAATGAATATATTTATAGGTTATAATAATAACATAACACAAGTAACAAAGGAAATATAAATAAATAAAGAAATTTAATGAAAAATTATAATAAAAACCATGTAACAAAGGAAAAGAAATTATTACAATATATATACATATTATATAAATAAAATTTAAAATAAAATCAATTTAACTATAAAATAATTAAAATCAAAATAATAAGACAAATATATTAAAGCAAAAAATCGAAGTAAAAATAAAATTTAAATTTAAATTTTAAGTTTAGGGCCAGCCTGAAGAAAAAGAGAGAGCCAGAGAGGTGGGGAGAGTGAGAGAGAGATAGAGAGAGGGAAAAAACTAAATCAAGGAAAGAGAGAGATAGCTTTTGAGGTTAGATTTAAAGGATGAGGTGCTTGAAGAATTTCAGATTTTTAAAGGGAGTGAGTTAAAGAACGAGGGGGCATTGAAGCTGAAAGAAAGTTTAAAAAGTTCTAAGCAGGGCCTAGGAATAAGGAGATCACATTTAGTAATCTAGCGGGTATTCATGCGGCCATTAGCAATGATTTTAGTGATGGATTGACAGATAGTTTGAGGAGCGATATTGTGTAGTGCCTTAAAAGTTAGGCATCCAAGTTGAAACTGATATCTGATTTAAACAGGAAGAGTGTTAGCCTTTAGAAAGTTAGAGGAAAATAAATGAGTAGTTGGAGAGAGATTCAATAAAATGTGTATAGCTTTTTGTTTTATCTTTTGCAGTTTGATTGTGGTAGAAGGTTTAGATCCCCAGACAGCACAGCAGTAATCAAATCTAGAAAGATATTAAGAATTATAAACAAGGTGAAGAGAGGATGAGTTAGTGAATTTAGAGGTACGTGCAAGTAGATAGACAATGGAGTTCAGTTTTTTTACAGAGAGAGGAAGTGTGGGATTTCCAAGTTAGATTATTATCAATGATTACACCAAGGTGTTTATGAGAAGTTACACATTGAATATATGTATTATCTAAATGAAGGTTGATTTTGTTATTATGAACTTTCAGTTTGTTAGAAGAGCCAAGGAGCATAGATTTGGTTTTATTAACATTAACTATTAGTTTGTTAGATTTGAGCCACACAGAGAGTAGTTGGAGATTAGAGTTAAGTTTCTGTTCTATAAGTTGAAGTGATATGTTGCTGTAGTAGATGATTGTGTCATCTGCATACATAACAACATTGATGTTAGGATTGATAGTGGTTAGTGCAGTCGGAAGGTCATTAATGTAGATAGAATAAGGAAGAGGACCTAAGGTCGAACCTTGAGGGACACCTATAGAACAAACTTTAGTCGAAGAAAGAGTTTAACCAAAAAGAACTTGATGAGAACGGTTGGAAATAAAAGAATAAAGCCATGAGTTTGTTGAAGGGGAAACACCGTAAAAGGGAAATTTAGAAATGAGGATATTGTGATTGAGAGTGTCAAAAACTTTCTTAAGATCGTTGAAGAGAGTGCCAGTTATTTTTTTGTTGTTAGTGTTATGCAGCCATTTATCATAAGTACTAGTAAGTGCGGTTAAAGTAGAATACTGAGGTCTGAAACAAGACTGATACAAAAGTTTTCCAATAAAGTTCAAAGTTCAGACTGAGAGTTAGAAATAAGATTACAGTATTATAATTAAGGTAATAGTGGATTTGGGATGAAACTGACTTTTCAAGAATCTTAGAACAGAGAGGAAGGATAGAAATAGGCCGGTAGTTGTTCAGATCATTTGTTTTACCTAATTTGAAGATAAGAATAATCTTAGATTGTTTTCCAGGCAGAGGGAAAGTAGCCAGTGTTAATTGAAAGATTAAAGATGAAGATGAGATGACAGGAGTGGCAAGTCTTAAAAGTTTACCATCAAATAAATCAAGACCAGTGGAAGTATTAGGATTTATCTGCTTCTACTCAGCTAGGACAAACTTTTCGTCGATA